TTCATCTCCACGTGCACGCAAGTACCTTTCTGCACTTTGCGGCCCCGTGTTCTATCACCACACCATCCTTCACCCCGAGAAAGGTTATTGAGGACCCCGAACCCTCCTTTCCCGTCCTCTTCGGGAGGCGCTTACCTTGTCCTGAAGGCCCTTGTCGTAGATGACCACGCGGCATCGTCCTCCATTGTTGGAAACCGGAAAATCGTAGAGTGTCGCATCTTTACCCGCCATCATTTGGATCCTTGTGCAGCCCTTCGCTCGAATGGAAGCACCCGTCCACAGCGATCCTTGAGGAGAGACCGAGGCTGGAGTCAAAAAACCTTGAGCAAGGCCAAAAAGGAGGACGGTTGAGACCTAATGTTGACGCAGCGTGTTTAGATAGGCGAATGAGTATGTCTTTATACCATTTTGGCGGTCTCTTTGCGACCCAAACGTAGAAAACTAAAGCTGGCAGTGCCACATTGATACTTGAGGTTGCTGTCACTTCCAGCCAAACATAAATAAACCTGCCACAAATTGCCCTTTCTATGCACTGCAAACAAAAATCATCAAATATTTGTCTCATTCACTCTGCCAACAACGAGCTTCACAAGCCACGACTTGGTAAAATCGTGAAAATTTGAACACGAAATCCGAAGCAGGGAAGTGATGGGGATGGGGAGGCGAGAGGAGGAGGCGGCTAGCAGGACCATTGCAAAAACCACCTTCCCCAAAACCAACCTACCGACACAAAGACGTCACCAACGCGTAATCCCATCGCACAGACTTTTCCTCTCTTCTCCTGTGCGTGTGTTTGTGTAGCGGGCGTGGCTGTGAGCCAGAAATTGCGGCACCGGGTGGTCAACTTCTCGGACGTGTGTCACTCCCTCGATTAATGGATCGAAGCTTCCTCCCGCTTATTCCTTTTAATTCCCTGTGGTCGTGAACAAACAAGCAAGGAGACCGTCGAGTATCACTCGGGCAGTCGGCAACAATCGGCTCTGTGAGATCGTTGGCACCATTTAGCGTCTTTGGCCTAGTTTCTGGGTTTTCTGCCTCTCGCATTCTCACTCCCAACCCTGCGTCGTGCTTCTCGAAGAGAGGGCGGGCGTTGAGTTGCATGTCCGTCACAGAGAACGACCAAACCTGCGAAACGACGACCGATTTCTCACCTGAAATCCCATAAATGTATTTAACATTCCATTTTTTGGCATTCCAGGGCGCGCGGGAGAAGAAAAAGACGATCCAGACGCGCCGACCACAGAGAGTGCGACCGTACACCTCTTCCGGCGCCATCACGCAGGCAGCTTTCAGGAGTACCCTGCTGAAGGGATTAAAATACCCATGGCAGACGCTGCCAGTGACCCCACCACCTCAAAATTTTCTCACGATGTAGGCATGGGGACTTTCGTCTTGGCTTTGGCGTTGGGAATTGTAGCCCGGGCCTGCCTCTCATCCTTGGTCCGTCTCCCGTACACGTGCCTCGTCCTCATCTTCGGACTTCTCTATGGCTTTCTTATCTACACGGAAGTCGGGATCACGGGATCGGACATTTTCAGTCGATCTGCAGACCTGTGGATCAATATCTCGCCCGAAGCTATCTTGACGGTGATCCTGCCTATCCTGATCTTCGGTTCGTCCTTCGCCAGTGACCTTCACCTGTTCTTGCAGCAGCTGACTCCTGTGTTGACGCTTGCCGGGCCTGCTGTGCTCGTGAACGCAGCACTGCTGGGGCTGACGGCCAAATACGTGCTACCGTACAATTGGGACTGGATGACCTCACTT